TACGTGGGATGTCAGGAGGATATCGGGGGTCACTCACACTTCTCCCTCAGGGGCGTAGGTGGAACCGGTAATGCTGAACTCATTCAGGGAACAGACATCTCCCTCCACCTTCTCAACGACAAACATCTGCCAAGAGACAGAGAGAGACAGGTCAGGGCGGGCGGTCCAAGGGGCAGTGGGGTGGGAACACACGGGGGGGCTGTCCAGGGAGGGGGGCGCCCCTTACCTTGCACACAGACATTTGGTTGGTGGTGAGGGTGCCGGTCTTGTCAGAGCAGATGACTGAGGTGCAGCCCAGCGTCTCCACAGACGGCAGGCTCCGGACAATGGCGTTCTTCTTGGCCATGCGGCGGGTGCCCAGGGCCAGGCAGGTGGTGATGACGGCGGGGAGACCTGCAGGGGAGGGGAGCAGAGGTTAACGCCCAGCATGTTACCATGGAGTCACTGCCAGCGCCTGCTCTGGACCGGGAAGGAGCAGGGCTGGGAACAGCTGGAATCTGTTCACCTCCAGAGGGCTGCAGCAAGAGCTGCTGGGACTCAGAAGGAGCCCGGACACAGGGCCCCTGGAATGGCTCCGAAGGGCAGGCAGACACCAGGCCCCGCAGCCCGCCGCACAGACTGACCTTCAGGAATGGCGGCCACGGCCAGGGCCACGGCGATCTTGAAGTAGTAGATGGCACCGCGGATCCAGGAGCCGCCGTGGACTGGGTCGTTGAAGTGGCCAATATTGATGAGCCAGACGGCCACGCAGATGAGCGAGATGACCTTGGAGAGCTGCTCCCCGAACTCATCCAGCTTCTGCTGCAGCGGCGTCTTCTCCTGCTCCGTGGCCGCCATCTGATCCCGGATCTTCCCGATCTCGGTGCTCACCCCCGTGGCAATGACAATGCCCACAGCCTTGCCAGCTGCCACGTTGGTGCCCTGCAGGGGAGGCAGCGAGGGGTTTTGGCAGGGGAGGAGAAGCAGAGGCACCAACAACGAGTGTGCATGGAGACCCCGTGGAGCCCAGGACAGGGGACCGGGGCAAGGCTCTGTCTGTCCTGCAGGCTTGGGGGCACTGGTGACCCCCAGGGGCAGGTCTCTAGTCTGGGGGTGACCCTGGGCTGTAGCTTTTGGTTGTGGGGGTGCAGGGTGGGGGTGACCCCGGGGGTAGCTCTCTGGCTGGGTGCAGGGTGGGGATAACCCAGGGGTAGCTCTCTGGCTGGATGCAGGGTAGGGATAACCCAGGGGTAGCTCTCTGGCTGGGTGCAGGGTGGGGATAACCCGGGGGGTAGCTCTCTGGCTGGGTGCAGGGGGGGGGGGGTGACCTG